TGACTTATATCAGTGTTGTTGTTATAACTTTGACTTATATCAGTGTTTTTGGTATAACTTTGACTTATATAAGTGGTGTTATTATAACTTTGACTTATATCAGTTTTGTTATTATAAATTTGACTTATATAAGTGGTGTTATTATAACTTTGACTTATATCAGTGTTGTTGTTATAACTTTGACTAATGTAAGTGTTGTTGTTATAACTTTTGCTTATATGAGTGTTAATTTTATAACTTTGGCTTATATAAGTGTTGTTGTTATACCTTTGACTTATGTAAGTGTTGTTATAACTTTGACTTATATAAGTGTTGTTGTTATAACTTTGGCTAATGTAAGTGGTGTTATTATAACTTTGACTTATGTAAGTATTGTTGTTATAATTTTGACTTATGTAAGTGTTGTTGTTATAACTTTGTCTTATATCAGTTTTGTTATAACTTTGACTTATATCAGTGTTGTTGTTATAACTTTGACTAATGTAAGTGTTCTTGTTATAACTTTGACTTATGTAAGTGGTGTTATTATAACTTTTACTTATATCAGTGTTGTTATAATTTTGACTTATGTAAGTGTTGTTGTTATAACTTTGACTAATGTAAGTGTTGTTGTTATAATTTTGACTTATATAAGTGGTGTTGTTATAACTTTGGCTCATATAAGTGGTGTTATTATAACTTTGACTTATGTAAGTGTTGTTATAACTTTGACTTATATCAGTTTTGTTATTATAACTTTGACTTATGTCAGTGTTGTTGTTATAACTTTGACTTATATAAGTGTTGTTGTTATAACTTTGACTAATGTAAGTGTTGTTGTTATAACTTTGACTTCTATCAGTGTTGTTGTTATAACTTTGACTTATATAAGTGTTGTTGTTATAACTTTGACTTATATCAGTGTTGTTGTTATAACTAGTTACACTAGTTGCTATTAAAGATATCATAATCACATTTACCTAATATGTAATTGAAATATTTTCACATCAAGGATTGTCGCTACATTGACTAATGTACGGAATATAGTTACAATGCACATTGATTACTGTAGCTAATGGAAGTCTTGCTACAACAGTAATACAATATGTTATAGAAATATGAGTGTTGGTTACGCACTAATACAATCAGCATGTTAACATTCTTCATTTTAAAATCGTGTGTAGAGTAAATTGTGATAGAAGTATAATAAAGCGATTTGTGTAAAACTTTTTTGTCCCGATATCTTTTTGTCAATCAATATAAAAGTTAGATGCCCTAGAACAACTAATTATAAGGTGTCTCTAAAACAACCCTGATGTCTCTAGAACAACTAATTAGTCCATTTAACTAGCAAGTGTCCCAAAAACAACCAAGATGTCCCTATAATAACCAAGATGTCCCTATAATAACCAAAATGTCCCTATTACAACCAAGATGTCCGAATAAAACCAAAATGTCCCTATATTAACCAAAATGTCCCTATAACAACCAAGATGTCCCTATAATAACCAAAATGTCCCTATAACAACCAATATGTCCCTATAATAACCAAGATGTCCCTATGATAACCAAAATGTCCCTATTACAACCAAGATGCCCGAATAAAACCAAAATGTCCCTATATTAACCAAAATGTCCCTATAACAACCAAGATGTCCCTATAATAACCAAAATGTACCTATAACAACCAAAATGTCCATATTACAACCAAGATGTCCAAATAAAACCAAAATGTCCCTAAAATAACCAAAATTTTCCTATAATATCCAAAATGTACCGATAACAACCAAAATGTCCATATTACAACCAAGATGTCTGAATAAAACCAAAATGTCCCTATAATAACCAAAATGTCCCTGTAATAACCAAAATGTCCCTATAATAACCAAAATGCCCCTATAACAACCATGTTGTCTCAATAACAATCAATGTCTCTATAACAACCACGATGTCTCAATAACAATCAATGTCTCTATAACAACCACGATGTCTCTATAACAATCAATATGTCTCTATAACAACCACGATGTCTCAATAACTACTAAGAGATCCGTATGAGAAACAAACAAGATGTTATACTAATCATTAAGGTGTCATAATTACATCCAATATGTAGAATATGAGAGGAAAAAGACAAAGTACATGTCACAGTTTCAATTTAGACGCCAATATGACAGTTCAAGACGCCATCGCATGGTGCGTTTGCATGCAACATTTGTTTTTGCAGCATTACACTCTGTTGAAGAGACGCTGCGTACAATCAAAAGGCTAACGAACTGTCGTACGGAAGCACAGACGATAGACACTGCAACAGGGCTTAAGCTTGTTTGCTTGCCTTTCGGGTACAAACGGATTTCGCACACAAAAAGGAATTTTTAAGTTTTCGTCATTGTTATATGTGCCATAATGTAATTATTGATGATGACATAAGTTACAACTGATGACGTCGCTGTTGCATAAAGTCATAATCCATGAAAATATCACAACTATCTACTATTGATTTGATTTTTGTTTCCTCCACTGTCTTCCATTTAGTCAATCTTCAAGTAAACAGATGTCTACTGGCTATGGGGTGATGCATCACTGGTTCATCCCACCTCAGCTGGATGTCAGCAGTGTTTTTTCACTCTTTCTTCCAATGTCAGTTATATCTCTCCCACGTACACAACTTTGCCGCACTTAGAACAAGAAAGAACACATACCACATTCGGTGTTCTGCATGACTGGCCGTGTGTTACCCTGTAAGTTTATTGGAGGTATCTGACACCATGTCTGCGAGTCTACCACACATCACAGTTTGAAGTTCATATTATATTTCCCACCTCGAAACAGCACTTCAGCTTCCTGTGTAACAGTGTCGGCTACACACCTATCTCTCCAATACTGCAGACAAGGAGAATAGGAGCACCTGGTTACCAATCGTGGCGACATACTCAAAGCAACTGTCCGTCATCAGTGTAACGGGAGAATTAATTGCATAATGTGAGGTCCATTCAAAATGGCCTTCACACTTATTGTTAAGCATGACGTCATATGATATGGCGCCAAAGATTATGCTACTACACAGGTAAGTCCCCGTTCTTTTTAATGCAGTAACAATTTACTCGCTGTAAATACCAGTAATAAGTAATAAATAGAAAATGTAAAGATTCTCCTGTTGAATATCCAATAAATTTCCCTAGTAAGGTAAGACATATCGTTTTCAGTCGTGAATAATATCGGTGTACGGCCATTATTGAAAAATACTAGTTTATACAGTATTTCAGGGGAAAGCATTAAAGATCCTCTGCATGCTACACAAGAAAAGTCCGCTCTAATACTAGTAATGAATTATGAGGGAACTGAATTAAAGTTGGCCCTTTTTGAAAGTTTTATTTTTTCTACATTTTTTTTATCAGTGTGACTCAATGTAAAATTAGCTGCATATATTTAAACAGTGATCACAATTACATATACTTAGTATTTCTTTGTAGGTTTGCTTTCTCAGCAGAACTTTTCCTACGAGCAGCTGTGAGTTACGTGTTCCACTTTTGCCTTGAAGCCGTAGATGGGATAACCATGACGACAGTTTCTTTAAGTGGTAAAGCCAAAAACAATTTGAAGTATAACCAAGGAAATGTTTTTCCTTAAAGATTCTATCCATTTTTTTAATCCTTTTGCCAAAGTTGACAAAATATTTTTAAATTTAAGCAAAAATGAACAGCAAAATAAATTGTGTCTAAAAAAAATGCAAACCTTTATCTGTTAATGTTCTTGGCAGAGAGGATCAACCCCCCCCCCCCCCCCCAAAAA